CTGCCCCATGCTACTCATCCATGTGGGCACTAATGAGACTGCAAGGTATGACACTGAGTGGATCAAGAGTGACTACAGGGTTCTGGGAGTATGGGTGAAGGAGTTTGAAGTACAGGTGGTATTCTCTTCAGCGCTTTCTGTCAAAGGTGGGGCACAGGCAGAGACAGCTGCATCCTAGAGGTGAATGCCTGGCTGAGAAGATGGTGTCACCAGGAGGGCTTTGGCTTCCTCAACCACAGGATGCTATTCCAAGAAGGACTGATAAGCAGGGATAGGGTTCACCTTTCGAGGAAGGGGAAGACCATATTTATATGCAGATTGGCTAACCTAGTGAGGAGGCTTTAAATTGGGTTCGATGAGAACAGGTGACCAAAGCCTACAGGTAAGTGAAGAACATGGAGACTTGGGAGATGGATCAGAAATGGGAGGTAGTATGGGCTATAATAGCAGAGAAAAAGGAGGGACAAGGCAGAACTGGGAGGCAAGATCAAATCGGTATCTTAGATGCATATATACAAATGCAAGAAGTATGGGTAATAAGCAGGAAGAACTTGAAGTGCTAGTAAATAAACACAACTATGTCATTGTTGGTATCACAGAGACTTGGTGGGATAATACACACAATTGGAATATTGGCATAGAAGGGTACAGCTTACTCACGAAGGACAGGCAGGGAAAAAAGGGAGGAGGTGTTATATATATTAAAAATGTACACACTTGGTTCAAGGTGGAGATGGATGTAGGAGACAGTTGTGTTGAGAGTCTCTGGGTTAGTCTAACGGGTAAAAAACAAATGCTATGTCATGCTAGGGGGTCTACTACAGGCCATCTTCCCAGGTGGATGAGGCTTTTTTTTAAACAACTAACAAAATCATCCAAAGCGCAGGATTTGGTGGTGATGGGGGACTTCAACTATCCAGAAATATGTTGGGAAACTAACACAGTGGGGCAAGACAATCCAATAAATTCTTGGATTTCATTGAAGACAACTTTTTATTTCAGAAGACTGAAAAAACTACTGGGGGGAAGCTGTTCTAGATTTGATTTTAACAAATAGGGAGGGACTGATTGAGAATTTGAAAGTAGAAAGCAGCTTGGGTGAAAGTGATCATGAAGTTCATGATTCTAAGGAATGGTAGAAGGGAGAACAGCAAAATAGAGTCACTGAATTTCAGGAAGGTAGATTTTGGTAAGCTCAGAGAGCTGGTAGTAAGGTCCCATAGGAAGCAAGACTAAGGGGAAAAACAACTAAAGAGAGTAGGCAGTTTTTCAAAGGGACTTTATTAAGGGCCCAAAAGCAAGCTATTCCACTGCATAGGAAAGATAGAAAGTATTGCAAAAGACCAACTTGACTTAACCAGGAAATCTTGCATGATCTAAAAATAAAAATAGAGTCATATAAAAAGTGGAAACTAGGACAAATTACAAAGGATGAATGTAAGCAAACACTACTGGTGTGCAGTGGCAAGATTAGAAAGACAAAGACACAAAAAGAGCTCAAACTTGCTACAGACATAAAAGGAATCAAGAAGACATTCTATAAATATGAGAAGCAAGAGGAAGACCAAGGACAGGATAAGCCCACTGCTCAGTGAGGAGAGAGAAACAGTAGCAGGTAACTTGGAAATGGCAGAGGTGCTTCTTTGTTTTGGTCTTCACCAAGAAGTCTGATGATGAAGGAATGCCTAACATAGTGAATGCTAGTGGGAAAAGGGTAGGTTGACAATCCAATAAATTCTTGGATTTCATTGAAGACAACTTTTTATTTCAGAAGACTGAAAAAACTACTGGGGGGAAGCTGTTCTAGATTTGATTTTAACAAATAGGGAGGGACTGATTGAGAATTTGAAAGTAGAAAGCAGCTTGGGTGAAAGTGATCATGAAGTTCATGATTCTAAGGAATGGTAGAAGGGAGAACAGCAAAATAGAGTCACTGAATTTCAGGAAGGTAGATTTTGGTAAGCTCAGAGAGCTGGTAGTAAGGTCCCATAGGAAGCAAGACTAAGGGGAAAAACAACTAAAGAGAGTAGGCAGTTTTTCAAAGGGACTTTATTAAGGGCCCAAAAGCAAGCTATTCCACTGCATAGGAAAGATAGAAAGTATTGCAAAAGACCAACTTGACTTAACCAGGAAATCTTGCATGATCTAAAAATAAAAATAGAGTCATATAAAAAGTGGAAACTAGGACAAATTACAAAGGATGAATGTAAGCAAACACTACTGGTGTGCAGTGGCAAGATTAGAAAGACAAAGACACAAAAAGAGCTCAAACTTGCTACAGACATAAAAGGAATCAAGAAGACATTCTATAAATATGAGAAGCAAGAGGAAGACCAAGGACAGGATAAGCCCACTGCTCAGTGAGGAGAGAGAAACAGTAGCAGGTAACTTGGAAATGGCAGAGGTGCTTCTTTGTTTTGGTCTTCACCAAGAAGTCTGATGATGAAGGAATGCCTAACATAGTGAATGCTAGTGGGAAAAGGGTAGGTTTAGCAGATAAAATAAAAAAAGAGCAAGATAAAAATCACTTAGAAAAGTTAGATGTCTGCAAGTCACCAGGGTCTGATTAAATGCATCCTAGAATACTCAAGGAACTGATAGAGGAGGTATCTAAGCCTTTAGCTATCATCTTTGAAAAATCATGGAAGACAGGAGAGATTCCAGAAGATGGGAAAAGGGCAAATATAGTGCCCATTTATAAAAAGGGAAATAAGAACAACACAGCAAACTACAGAACCATCAGTTTAACTTCTGTGCCAGGAAAGATAATGGAGCAAGTAATTAAGGAATTCATCTGCAAACACCTGGAAGATAATAAGCTGATAGGTAACAGCCAGCATGGCTTTGTAAACAACAAATCATATCAAACCAATCTGATAGCTTTCTTTGATAGGATTACGGGTCTTGTGGATAAGGGAGAAGAGGTGAAGGTGGTATACCTAGACTTTAGTAAGGTATCTGATATTGTCTCGCGTGAAATGTTTATAAATAAACGAGGCAAATACAGCTTAGATGGGGCTACTATAAGGTGGGTGCATAACTGGCTGGTTAGACATTCTCAAAGAGTAGTTATAATGGTTCACAATCCTGCTGGAAGGACATAACAAGTGGGGTTATGTTTTGGGACTGGTTCTGTTCAATATCTTCATCAATGATTTAGATATTGGCATAGAAAGTACGCTTATTAAGTTTGCAGATGATACGAAGCTAGGAGAGGTTGCAACTGCTTTGGAGGATAGTATCATAATTCAAAATGATCTGGACAAATACAAAGTACTCCCCTTAGGAGGGAACAATCTGTGTCACACAAACAGAATGGGAAGTGACAGTCTAGGAAGGAGTACCACAGAAAGGGATCTAGGGGTCATAATGGACCACAAGCTAAATATGAGTCAACAGTGTGACACTGTTGCAAAAAAAAGCAAACATGATTCTGGGATGCATTAACTGGAGATTTGTGAGCAAGACATGGGAAGTCATTCTTCCACTCTATTCTGCACTTATTAGGCCTCAGTTGGAATATTTTGTCCAGTTATGGGTACCACATTTCAAGAAAAATGTGGAGAAATTGGAGAAGGTCCAGAGAAGAGCAACAAGGGTAATTAAAGGTCTAGAGAACATGACCTCTGGAGGAAGACTGAAAGAACTGGGCTTATTTAGTTTGGAAATGAGAAGATTGAGAGGGAATATGATAGTAGTTTTCAGGTATCTAAAAGGATGTCACAATGAGGAGGAAGAAAAATTATTCTCCTTGGCCTCTGATGATAGAACAAGAAGCAGTGAGCTTAAACTGCAAGGGAAGTTTAGGATGGACATTATGAAAAACTTTCTAACTGTTAGGGTGGTTAAATACTGGAATAAGTTGCTTAGGAAGGTTGTGGAATCTCCATCTCTGGAGATGTTTAAGAGCAGGTTAGATAGACATCTATCAGGGATGGTCTAGACGGTACTGGGTCCTGCCATGAGGGCAGGGGACTGGACTCGATGACCTCTCTAGGGCCTTTCCAGTTCTAGTGTTCTATGACTCTATAGCTGAAAAGGGCTCCCCTCATGGGATTAGAATGATAACTCATGTCTGACTGAAAGTGATGGCATCTGAAACTGAAAGACAACCAGAATCAGAACCTTCACTTAGGTTTGTCTAGTAGATTCGAACAGTTTCTCACTTTTTTGTGGATTGCTTATCATTATCTCCAGTGTTACCACAACATAAATATTAAAGTCTCAGCCACTTCCAACCATTTTTATATATTATACATACATAGTGCCTGGATGTGTGTGCAATATATGTATGCATATCTCTTAAATAGCCCAGCTTTTAAGTTACCCCGTATAAACAAAAATACTTCCAGAAAATTACCTTTGCCATAGATTTTAAAGATG